TGAACTAGGCTGGGCTAAGAGCAGAACTGTTCCAAGCATGACCAGGCACTTCTGCTTCCACTATCCAGACATTTTTGTCTTTCTTGCTGACAACTGTTAAGTCCGGGGTGTTATGTTCTTGTTGTTGTTGTTGTTGTTGTTGTTGTTGTTGTTGTTGTTGTTACTACACTGTGGTGGTGCAGTGGTTAGAATGCAGTACTGCAGGCTACTTCTGCTGACTGCCAGCTGCCAGCAGTTTGGCGGTTCAAATCTCACCTGGCTCAAGGTTGACTCAGCCTTCCGTCCTTCCGAGGTAGGTAAAATGGAGAGCCGGATTGTTGGGGGCAAGAGGCTGGCTCTGTAAATCGCTTAGAGAGGGTTGTAAAGCACTGTGAAGCAGCATATAAGTCTAAGTGCTATTGCTTTTATTCTGCTATTGGTTGCCTCTAAGGGAAAGCATTGAAGGCAAATGAAGGCCAGGCAGAAGAACATCATCATGGCTTCAAAATCTAAGGGACCGGTTTGGATAAAACTCAACAGCACTTTTTCACGCAGCTGTTGATAAAAATAGGATCGCCAACATCCGATGACGGATATGGCACAAGAAGGAGAAGAAGGGAAAGCATCTCAAATTATATTAGTATTATACTGTATAACAGCTTGACAGGATGTACAATGCTTTGACAATGTTTTTTATGTGGGGCTCTCAAACCTAGGTTGTTTCATTACCCAACTAGGTAACATCATTTCTGCTACAAGGGTGTGAGGTTTGCTCTCATTTGAGCATCCCACTCACTTCTAGCGCTGATGATGTTACCTAGTTGGGTAATGAAACGTCTGCAAGAACACAACCAAGCTCAGACAGCACCAAGGACCCAGTTCTACCCAGTTTAAATATTCTCTTCTCTACATCTTTTTATGTGTTTGCATTCCTTTTGCTTGTCTTCCATAATTGTGTTGTGATCTCCTGGTGGCCTGTGGAGCTGGCAGCAGATTCGGACAGTGAGGAGGTTGGGGAGGAACATGGGCCAGTTCGACTCGACTTGAAAGATTATAATGAACTTGTTTGAAATTTAATAAAAAAGCTTTGGATGTTATAGTCGCAGTGTTTACTATTTGAAAGAATGGTGCAACATGCAAAAGAAAAGAAATTAACATTGCAAATGATTATGCTAGAAATTCAAAAATAGAAAAGAGAATGGACAATATAGAACAAAGAACAGAAAAAATAGATGAAAAAATTGAGAATACTTACCAAATGATGATGAAATTTGAGGACAGAGTTCAAAAAATTGAAGAAAAAGATGAACAAAGATAAGAAAATTGTTGATACTGACAACAGATTGAGCATGGTTGGAAATAACAGGAGTGGAAAATTGAAAGGGGAGATTGATAGACTGGAACTTTATCTCAGATTTCAAAACATAGAAAAAGAAAAGAGAGAAAATCTGGCAGAAGTAATGAGAGAAATTTTGGCAGAAGCATCGGTGATAACCAAAGGCAAGCTGATGGAAGGAACAGATGGAGGGTTTTGAATCTTTACGAGATATGCGATGAACAACAAGTTGCCCTTATAAGATCTACTAAGAAAGCAATTAGAACACAAATACTACAATTGGCAAAAGATATAAGATTGCACTATTCCTGGAAGGATACAGGATGATGTAATGAAATGTCATAATAAAAATTAAGTTGAATTTAGTTAAATTTAGAATATTATGTATAAAATGAAACAATAATAGATATAGTCAAATAAATGATTAACAATGATAATAATGCACATATATACACCAGATCGATAATATGAAATTCTATACAAATTGTGAGGACTATGGAGAGGAAGCACAAAAGCTTTGTAACCAATCGACATATTGTATATAACTGGAGGATGGTTTTTATGTTTTGTGTGCGTTTATGTCTGTTTGTTTTAAAATAAAATAAAATATTTTTTAAAAAAGAACGGGGGCCGACTTGGGAGTAAGGCCACATGTGGACAATGAATGGCCCCTCCCAGAGGACATAAAAGAGGAGCGAAAGGGGAGTGGAGTTTGCAGGAGACTATTAGTTCGCTTAATTGGTTCAGGACTCTCTGAGACTCCTTGCCAAGTTTTGCAGATATCAGCCTGGCAGCTCTCCAAGCCAGATAAGGTCTGTGACTGTAAATCCTCCCTTGAAAGATTTTGCTGGATGTGAATGAGCAGAATTCACAGTCAATTAATAAAAGGGATTTTTGTCAGGACCAGGCATTTGCTTCATGCTCTCGAGAAGCCCATGTCAGAACAAATTGCCTATATTTTTATTCATTTAATATTGTTGTTATATATATCTATATATTACCTATTGCAGAACGAAGACACGGTTCAATGTGTAAACCTTCCTCATCTCCAGCATCTCCAGGACCCTGCAATTCCAGGGCATGCCTCATACAGATGAAGCCGAAATCCTGCATCAGTGGCCATAACTCCGTAAACAACAACGCAAAGCCATTCAAAACGCCCAAAGACAATCTCATTACCTCCAGTAGCAAGCAGCATATGGTCTTTTCTTCAAAAGTCTCAAGAGACAAACCTTGGTAAGTTGGTCTTCTTGCAGACGCTCGATTTCATATCCTTTTCTCAGTATTGGATTTCCATATTTAGGTTTCTGTCTAGTTGTTTCTGCATGCAGTGAGTGCCCTTGAGCGCCATCCCGAGGGAAGGAATTGAAAAAGTTTATATCCAGGATGTGAGTGTTGCGGTGGCCTAGAGGTGGAGCTCTTGCTTCACAATCAGGAGGCTGTGAGTTCAGTCCTAGGTACAGGCAGATATTTCTCTCTCTGGGCACAATAGGAATATAGCTGCTGAATATAACTCCTCATTGGTGACGGGAAGGGCATCTGGCCAGTAAACACATAGCTCCATTCAGTTGCCTAGACTCCACCCGGCAAAGGATTATGCGGTCATTAAAAGGAGATGATGACGACATATGCATATACACATACACATATACATTTAGTCTTTGACTTACAGCAGTTCATTTAGTGACCGTTTGAAGTTACAACAGCATTAAAAAGGTGATTTATGACCATTTTTCACACAACCATTGCACCCTCCCTACAGTCACATGATCAAAATCCAGATGCCTGGCAACTTGCTCATACTTCTGACCATTGCAGTGTCCTAGGGTCATGTGATTCTCTTTTACGACGTTCCAACAAGCCAAGTCAAATGGGGAAGCCAGATTCGCTTAACAACTGTGTTACTAACTTAACAATGGCAGGTATTCACTTAACAAACATGGCAAGAAGATAGGGCAAAACTCACTTAAGGCTTATACAACATAATTAGGTTGTGCGAGACTTATTCAAGACTAAAAGTTAAGAAACCCCTGATGTGCATTTCTAGCATTCTTATGGAAATTTTAAGATTTTTTTAAAAATTCCATTTCAGACATTTGTGCAATGTCCTACAAAATAGCAGCCAGATACATAACGCCCCCAAAAAGAGACACAAATGTGGTTTTGTTTAGAAACAAGCACGGTTTCAATTAGTTGCATTAGCGTGCAAAATGATTTCAGCTCAGAACATTTTGAGCTCCTAACGCTCCGGTTTTGGATTTGATACGAGCGGTTCTAAACTTAGCAGAAATATTCCGGAGTGGTCTTGGGAAGTTTAAGATGTGTGGCCTTCGATTCCTGGCTGGGGAATTCTGGGAATTGAAGTCCACACATCTTAAACGGTTGAGAAAGGCTGGGTAGGAAATTGCCCAGCAGACTTGCCACAGAAAATAGTTAGACCCTCGTCTATCTTTTAAGATTAAAGGTTAATTGAAAAATCAACTTAAACTTTTCGCCACAGCAAAAATATTAAATGGAATGAGCCTTGATTACCAAAAAGTTGATTGCTCCTTGTCCGAGAAAAAAGCAAAGAATGAAATATAGCTACTATAAGAATTGACCTGTCAGCTGACCAAACCTTTTCACAGGGAGTCCTCAACTTATCACTACAATTGCGAGCAGAATTTCCATTGTTAAGTGAGATGGTTGTTAACCTGATTTTATGGGCTTTTTGCCACTGTTAAGCCGTTTTCACTGCAGTTTCGTAAATAACGCGGTCCTGACTATGAGAAATGTAACATGTCCCCGAGACATTTAACAGGAAGTTTTGATTCAGCTTTGATTTCTTTTAAGAGAAGGGAAATATTTCATAATTCAGGTTCATTATTTAATACTAGGTGGTCGTTGTTTCAGAGATGTTTCGTTACACGAATAGAGAAATAAAATGTGTGGGCAGAAAAGCAATAGAGCAGAAGTGACTTCCGACTTCCTGCCGTCTTACCCAATGACTTTATTAGTGGGGAAGCTGGCAGGGAAATGTAAGAAATCACAATCCGGTGGTGTGGCTGATTGTGGCGACACTGCAGTGTCCAAACTTTGCGAATGCAACTGGTGTGAAGACTTTTGAAATTTCAATTACACAGAAGTAAGGATCCCAGATTTTGTACACATTTTCTCAAGTTAATGAATTTGAGATATCTTGACTCAAAACCTTTTGCTCTGTCACGCACCGTTTAGATGAATTGAACATTACAGAAGACAGGAGAAGTTTAGTAGTATATAGATACACATGCAAGTGTGATTCTCTAACATGTTTTTAGCACGCAATAATACTGATAAGAACAGATTTGTGTGAAGTGATCTGGGCACTGCTTTAGTGGTAAAACACATAATTGGATGGGATTGAACTGGTTTGATTACTCTGTGAGCGATATAGATGTATCGTGAGAGAATATTTCAAAAACATAAGTAAAAAAACAGGCAAAGAAAGATATGGGGACGCAATAGTATTTTTCTCTCTGATAGCATCTATCTCTTATTAGAATTAAGTCTAAAAATTAAGCCTGCACATAGTTGAAATATTGATAACAGGAAAGCAAAAAGATAACAATTGGTGAAGTCATGGAATAATATCTGCCATATTAATTTATACCAAAGCTGATCTTTATGTCTTAAAAATGCTGATAGTTTTTTATACTAACAGTTTGATTTATAGTAAGCAGGCAGTACTGTATTTTTTCGGCGTATAAGATAAGACACACCAAGATTTTGAAGAGACAAAAAAAAAAGGTTTTGCACTCTGCAGACCTCCCAAAAATGAGCCATTTTTCACGAAAACGAGCCCGTTTTTTTGTAAAAAAAATGGGGGGGGGCACGCATAGCCTTTAGGAGGCTTGTAGAGTACTCCTGGGGACTGGGGGGGTCAAAAACGAGCAAAAAACGGCCCATTTTTTCACTCATTATTACCTTCCCCAACTCCCAGGAGCATTCTGGAAGCCACCTAAAGGCTATGCATGGCCATTTTTGCAAAGGGGGTGGGGTTTTGGGAGGCCAAAAATGCTG